GGGAAGAAAACCAAGGACATGGTAACCCAGTATTGCTAAATGGAAAGAAAACAGAGAAAAGGGATTGATAATCATACACATTTCTGACAGGAAAATTAAATGCATGCTATAAATATAGAAACTAGAAATTATAACTTATTGCACTGATGATATAAAATAACATTTGCTCACCAAAACTAACAACTGCCAAAGGCATTTCCATCTCTTTGTCCTTGTAATAGAAAACTCACCAAATTCAGACAGTCCTTTAATGTTAGACATTCACCCACCTCTCATTTTTTATGTGGTATGGCTGAAGACTGAATGAATAAATGTCAGTGTCTGAATACAGAAATGTCAGGTGTTTGAATTAATAGAAACTCAGACATCACACAGCGAAGCAAAAACATTCTGTGAAAAGTAGTGCACTGCTATGTGCAAAAACAATTGTTAACTCACCCTAATTTCTGACAGTTGGACTCATTTTACATAAAGCAATTCCAAAAGTTTCTTTCCTCTTAGCAAATGATAGTGGCAGTCTGTATTTTGACTGCACTTCACAACAAACTAATTAAGACACGCATTTAAAAAAAAAAGGAACAGGCGTTAAAAACATACCATATGACAAACTGCCTTACAAAAGCAATACTAATGTTTGTCATCTCAGAATCCTGCTAGCTTCAAGTGCAACCTGACACAGCTGATCCCATTTCAGTTCTGTGGGATTAAGGGTCAAGAAGAAGATCCTGATGCACAGTTTGCGCAGATTAAGAACTCATGCAGAACATGCCATACAAATTACAGGTTGTTGTTGAAATGCAGATTTTGCATTGTTTCCAGGTCCTTTAGCAGAAGACACATAGATGGCAATGTTTTCTAGATCCATTCTCCTTTGCTACACCTTCATTCAGAGACATTGTATGTTCTTCCCCCTCCCCTGCCCCAGCTGCTTTTGCTCAGGCATCTCTGTTCTCTTTAGTGACCAAACATTCACACTGGGATATATCCTCCACTTGCTGTCACGCAGCCTGCTGTGAGGGACATGGTCACACATGGAGAGTTCTGTCCACAGTTCTGCACAGAAACCTTACAAGCTAACATTCTTTAACTTAGGCAAAGGTATGTACTGTGTGCATCAAACATATCCTAATGGTAGAGGGAACAGACTATTCAACATGGTCTAGGTATGTCCCAGTCTAGGCAGCTCTCTAAACACTTATCTAAAAATACTCCCACGTTTTACTCACTTCAGCCTAGTAGAAGGCTTTTTATTCACGAAAAAAGTCTATGTAAGTATTTTCCAAATCTGATAAAGCGCATCTACAAAAAGTTGACGAGCAAGTACACGTTCACGGCGAAAAGAACTGGAGCAAATTCTACGTTATAAGAAAGATCAGCAAAGAGAATACACAAAATGTACCTAGAAGGACCAACCATCTGATGGCTGTGACACTGATCATCTGCCACTGCAGATCTCGCAAAGAATGGCCACTGTTTACCAGAGGAGAACCATGGTACCTGAAGTCACTAGAACAAATGAAATGAGGACAAAGGGGCGTAGAGAACTTTTAAGTGAAAAATCACACTAACAGGTAGTGAAGCTTCAGGCTTCCCAGACTCCTTGCCTGAACAAGAACCTTGTCCACGCTTGACAGGGAGCTGGGGCAGCACACTGCAGACAGGCGAGACGGCCACCTTTCAAGCTGTGGCTCTGCAGCCCCGGTTATGCCCTGCTGCCACTATTTTTTTCACTCCCCAGTGACACACACTGAGTCACACTCTCCTCTCCCGGCAAATGCCTCCATTCCGCAGAGCTAGCTATCAAACCACTTTCATAGAGAGATGTGCTGCTCCTCTTTCTCTCACCTCATGCTTTCATACAGCTTCCGAGCTCCCAGCTCAGCAAGCACAGAGAGCGCCTCAAACACCCGCAAACTCCACATAAAAAACCTCCCTGCGTGTTTGCACGAGCCGCCTCGAGCCCGGGACCCACCGGGCGAGGAAAGGACGCCGTCCGACCTCGAAGAGGCGCTGCCGGGCGGCAGAGCCCTTCCGCGGGAGGCTGCGGCCAGCTGCGGGCGTGCGGGGCTCGGGGCTCGGCTGCCCGGCTCCCCCGCCGCCCGGCCCCGCCAGGAGATCGGGGGGCAGCCCCCAGCGCGCCCCCGTCCCGGCTCCCCGCGGAGCGTCACTCACCGGACAGCGCGGGCTCTCGGCAGCAGCTCAGCGCCAGCCCCGACAAGGCCAGGACGGCGGCGAGGGCCGGAGGCTCCATGGGCAGCGGCCGCCGGGCCGCACCGCGCCCGCAGGACGCAGCCCCGGCGCTCCGGGGGTGGCAGGCGGCCGGGAGGAGCGCAAAGTGCGGGAAGCGGAGGCCCTACAGCATGTGTCCTGTAAGTGCGCCCCGGCGAGGTGCCGAGTGGCAGATGAGGGATCCTATTACCAGCCATGTGACAGGAAAGGATAGAGACCGACATCCCAACCTGCCGCAGCGCGGGACCGCAGAGCTGCCGCTCCCACTCTTGACACCGGCAGGTCCGGGCTGTCGGCCCTCGCCCCCGGCCAGCGCAGCGGCTCCGCGGGGTCCTCCCCGCAGGCCGGGCTGCCCCGCCGTCAGGAACGCAGGGGCCCGGCGACCCCCGCCACACACGCACAGCCCTCCAGCCCAGCAGCCACCCACGCCTCGCTCTCGTCACTCCCCTCTGCCTTCTCGCAGCCCGTGTCCCGCTGCGGCCGCCGAAGAGCCCGGGCAGCCGCGGCCTAGCGCCCTCAGCCGCCGCCCGGCCCCGCGCACGCCCTCCGGCCGGCGGGGGTCCCTCAGGGGCTGCCGGAGCAGAGCGCGCCCCGCAGCCCCGCTCCCATCGCCGGGAGCCGCGGGGGCACGGACGGACACGACACAGGAAGAGGACGCTGCGAACTTCGTGCCGTTCCCGTGCGGCTCCCGCCCGCTCTCAGCAGCCTTTCTCGGGGACGCCGACACGAGCGGCTCCGCTCAGGTGTCCGCGCCGCGCTGCTGTTCAGGGCGTCGCTCTGAAGCTGAACAGGCACCTCCGGCCCTACAGAAATGAGCGGCCGGCGGAGCCGTGCCCGCAGCGAGCTGGGAGGACGCGGCCCGGCTGCAAACCCCCTCGGCTCCGGGGGGACAGAGCTGCCACCCGGGCGGGCACAGGGAGATGCTGCTCATGGACAGGCACACGGGCACGGACACCTGAGACGTCTGCGGGCCGACACGGACAGACAGGGGCACACAGCGATACATCCAGAGCGACAAACACAGAAGCTGACACCCCCGAACCGAAAGAAAAGGAGCAGCGTTGCTTTGTGTCAACGGTGAAGTCACATGCAGAAAGACAGGGTTTGGGTTAGCGGAGTTTTTTCTCGTCTACATGCAGACAACAAAAGACAAAATGTCAAGGTGGTAATGTCAAGCTGTTGTCTGAACTTATCCAAAGTCTTATTACCTGACCTGTGAGATATTTTAGCAATGGCAATTGCTAAAAAACAACCAGCAGAAAAACCCATGCTAACAGCAAAGTTGCTTCGTCAGGAAGGAGGGCAAGCGTTGTTATCCTTGTAACACCTGTACATCATTGCTGTGTAATGAAGTGGTACCACTAATAATTATTATGGATAATGCAATTATCCATAAAGGGAGAGAGCAATTTTCTACTCTGAGAGGGGAGGCAACAAAATACAGTTTGTAGGCCTTAACTGTTGTATCAATACATAGTATGGATATAGCTCACTTTTAGCATGCAGAAACCTCCCACTATATAAAGCTGTAAGGTTGATTTTGAGAAGAAAAACATGCTTACATTTCTTTTGGGCTTTGTGACATATAAAAAGCAGAAGAAGGATTCCATATAATAGCATAGCTTTACACAAAAATTTAAATATTAGCTAAAATTTTAATATTTAATTATTTTGAACTGAATTCCTAGTGAATGTAGCTTTTTTAAGCTGTTGAAATATTGAAAAACAACAACAGTGTTCTGTTAGCTTGGTGCTATGGGGTTTTTTTCCTTTTTAATGATAAATGCAGAAATACTTAGTTCCTCACACATACAGTCTTCTCTCCAAGGACTGGGATCCCATTGTGCTCCCATTCACTCAATTTCGATTCCATTTTATTTGGCATTCTGTTCCTTAAGGACACTGGAACAGAGAGGGCTTACAAATTTATAACAGTGTATTGCTAACAAAGCTCACTAAATCAACCATATCTCCAAAAGGCCATTTCAGTCTTCCAGCATTCCTAAGCAAAACCACTTTCATTCATTGTGCTGCCCTCTTTCTCCACCAATCCTGCACACACAGTTGATATGTGTGTATACATCAGTTGCACTGTTTTTTGTAACTGTAGCACACTGGCAATGGACAACCAGTTCATTGCCAGTGATAATCCCCCAGATTTCTTTCAAAGTTCTTTTTTTGTTGTTGTTTTTACAATATTTTTTCTTTCTGTTTGTATTTCAGCTTATTGTATTCAAGGTCACTCATTCTCATTTTGTAATTTTCTTTTTGTGGTTTGTGGTCTCTGTATACAAACAACAACAATGGCAGCTAATAAGTAATGAATAAATAATTTTATATTTCATAATACATAGTCTGAGGCATTTCTTTCAATTTTTCTTGTGCCCATTATAAAGTAAAACCTATACTATTAATTAATTTAGTTTTCCTATCCATTTGGTACAGGACAGTTTTGGTACAGTTTGTCCTTGCTTTTCAAAACCACCATGATCTTCCAGTAGTCTATGAGTTAAAGACCTTAAAAAAACAGACCAAACGACCTGCAAAAGTTAACAATTCTTACACTGAAAAGAGCTGAACAATACAGAAATTATGTCAGAAACCATTTGGGATGTAGGTAAAAGCAAAGGTTTTTTTTTCCTGAAAGGATTCTGGACAAGGCAGTAATTCAGAAATAATTTTTTAATGAAGATAATGAAACACAGTAAAATACATCCAAATACAAATGGTATGCATGTTATGGTTGTTCAAGGAAAGCATTGCAAGTTTTGCAAAACATAGAATCATAGAATCATAGAATAGATTGGGTTGGAAAAGACCTCCAAGATCATCAAGTCCAACCCCTGATCCAACTCTAATTACTATATCATGGCACTAAGGGCCATGTCCAATCTCTTTTTAAAAACTTCCAGGGATGGTGAATCCACCACCTCTCTGGGCAGGCCGTTCCAATGCCTGATCACCCTCTCTGTAAAGAATTTCTTCCTAACATCTAACCTAAACTTCCCCTGGCAGAGCTTGAGCCCATGTCCCCTTGTCCTGTTGTTGGTTGCCTGGGAGAAGAGACCAACCCCCACCTGGCTATAACTTCCCTTCAGGTAGTTGAAGAGAGTGATGACACTTCCAGTGCAGCCAACAGACTTTTTGTTTTGAAGATGGACTCTAATTTGACAGTTGAATAAAGATGGATTTTTAAAAAGTCATTCTACATTAATGTGGAAGGAAACGTATAATTTTCTGAGTACTTCCCTTCTCTCCTTTCCAATTGAATCCTTTTAAAATTAGGTGAGAAAGGAAACAAAACCGTCACTTTGAGTCTCTGTTCAGAGACTTGCAAAATATAAGAATGCTGTTTGAATACTGTCAGTAGATCTACCTCTCTACTAAAACAAACTCCAAAAATCTGTAAATTCAGCCTGACCTACCAGTAGTCCATCTGACTGTGCATCCACTTTCACATCTATGTAAGCCTTACATGGCCCCAGAGAAGGCAAATATTTCCCTGATAACTGCTAAGATAGTAGGCTCTTATTCTTTCCATTTTACCAGCTCTCAAGTAAAAGATGAAAAGTGCAGAGAAATCATGAACTCTTTCAGTTTGGTCAGAACTCTGGTTCTGCTGGCAAAGACGTGACTGTCAGAAGAAACTACTGCCTGTAAAGTTGAGACTGATGCTTTCAGAAACATTGGCTTTTGCTCAGCCTGCCATGATATAATCTCAGGAATTTGATTAGCATTTCCCATACAGTTCAATACTCATTATGTTGATTGCAGAAATCAAATTATATCACACTGTACAATACCATTGTTTGTGTTTGGAAAGTAGATATTTGTTGCTGTGGACAGTTTAATCCTCTGCTATGCTTTTTCTGTATTTCATTAAAAACTCCTCTGGAATTTCATTGTCTCTTATTCTACTGGAACTTCTGAAACAAGTTTCTGGTTTCCTTTGTGCCTTGGAAGAAAAAACAAAGTTAAAAAACCCCAAACAAATCAAAGGCTAAAGATGAGTAAAAGCAGTTACCATAGAACAAGGTTACCTTAGAACAAGGTGAGGAAGAATATTGGGGTTTTTTGAATAGTAATATTGCACCAATTTTAAAAGTACCAGTTCTGTGGAATTCCACTGCATAATACCCCAAACAACAGTATCCCTCCCCTGTCGTACAGTACTGAAAATTCAAAATATTTAAATTACCAAAAATAGCGACTAAATGAGATCTAGCACTCCTTCTATCTGAGCAACATGATGACATCAACAAATACTGAAGGTTTGCTATTATCCCTGTACAACAATCACTTTCCATTTTCTAGTAGAATGACCTAAATTATACGAGAAACTGGGCAAATATCAGTGGTGAGACAACCAGTGATAATGAAAGGTCTGGAAAGAAGGTTGGTTTTTGAGTACAAAAAAAACAGGAAAAAATTCTGAGTGAGCAGTGGACTTGGGCTTCAGTGGTAAATTCTGGATCTTAAACTAACTTTTTTTTTTTTTTTTGGCTAAATGAAACGTATGGCCAAAATATTAATAGATACATTTGCGACTACCTAGGAGCCCTCACAACTAGCTGAGAGAGAAAAGCATAAACCAGCTTACTGATTTACTGAGGACCTTGGTATTGTGATTTCTTTCAATTCTAAACACCATGGTATCATTCCCCACCCCAACTCCAGACATAGAATCATGTGTTTGAGTGTGAAACTTGTCTTTCACTTTTAGGATAAAAAGGTGTCTGGAGAAAGCCTTCAAATACAGTCCCTACTTGCTTTTCTATTGTTTTGTCGGTGTTGTTGGTTTGGTTTTTTAGTTTGATTTTTTTTGTTTGTTTGTTTTTGTTAAATGAGAAAGAAATCTAGAAGAATATAACATTAAATAATTGGGATTTTTATATATATTTTTATGGGCTTTGCTGCTTTTTAAGATACTTCCCTCTATCTTGCTATGTAAGTATGGTCCTAGCTGTGAACACTGAGAGCAGCTCCTTTTCACAGAATCATAGAACAGACTGGAAGGGACCCCAAAGATCATGTAGTTCCAACCCCCTACCACGGGCAGGGACACCTTGCACTTGAACAGGTTGCTCCAAGTCCCATCCAACCCAGCCTTGAACATTTCCAAGGATGGGGCAGCCACAGCTTCTCTGGGCAACGTGTGCCAGGGCCTCCCCATCCTCACAGGGAAGAATTTCTTCCTAATATCTAATCTAAACCTAACCTCTTTCAGTTTGAGGCATTACCCTGGCAAGGACAGTGAAGTGTTTTTCATAAAAGACAGTAGCAGAAAAATACAACGTTTGATTTCTTTGTTGATGAGAAAAATTAATAAAGTGCTCAAAACAGTTGCTATTTCTTTAGGTGTTCCATTTGTGTTTTCAGTTCAGTTGGGCCTTACCTTTCCTTTCTACACAAAAAAGCCAGACGTGCCAGGACTGCAAGACCAACTATTCCAAATACACAGCCAAGAAGAATTAGTTGTTCAATAGCTGAAAAACAGAGACCAAGCACAAAAAACCAAGAAGACTTTGATACATTTATTCCTATCTGTTTGAACACAGTCACAAGATGATTTTTGAAACTGTACATAGTGTTAATTTTTCTGTTCTCTGTATCTGTGGAACAAACTGCCTGCCTTGGCATGAGGGTTGATCTCCAGAGGTCCCTTCCAACCCTAACTATTCCATGATTCTGGTACAGATCAGGAACTCACAGGCTTTCTGCATTTGACTGTTGGGGCAGGTGGCTGTAAAAGCTGTTGTAACTCCAAGAAAGGATGGCTAGTGGTTAATATGTTGTTGCTTATCCATAAAGGTTCATCACATCTCCATCATTCTGAATACAATTAATATCTGCATGTTTTCCAGCTCCTTCCCTCTGATCATTCAGGGCTGGATTTCTGCCCCCTTCTTCAAATGTAAATGTCAGCATCCCTTTTGCTTAGTGAGACTGATTGGCTCTTAGCCAGTATGTATGTGGTTGATGGCAGCAGTGGAAAAATGTTCTTAGCTTTCAGCTTGGCAGAGTGTTTTGCCACTAACTTTTTAAGATCTGGCCTTTGCACATTTGTCTGCTGCTCAAACTCACTGTGGTTCATCTTACAAATATCACTAAACGTGCAGAACTGCATTGGAAATGTATAAGCAATTGGTACAGGCCAGCAGAGGCTGATGAAATGTGTCAGCATGACAGGAATTCATTGCTGAAGTGAGGTGCACTTTGCACATTTCTTTGGAAGGTGCTCAGAATGCAGAATCTGTTGGTATGAATTAGTTGATGGAGAATCTGTTAGTATGAATTATTTGATGAGTGCTTTTGGGAACTATTAACTCAGCATTAAAAGTGCTTCAAATATGCCACCTGGCCTTGCCTCACCTTGGAGCTTTGAAATATTGCCATCTTGAGGACATTTGGAGTGTACATGGTGAATGATTAAGAAGGAAATTTTGGGTTGTTTTCTGTAGATCACAGAGACAGCCTAACTGCTACTAAATCCAACAGTCCAGGTTAATTGTTAATCTAATGGAACTAACACAAGAGGGGTAATAAATTTTTGTTAGTTATCCTAAATACTATTACATCATTACAATAGTTTTACTGCCATAGTATGATGCATTTTGTTTCGAGATAACAGAATCCTTTAGAAAAAAAGGGTGAAAGTGTTCAACAAGTGTGGGCTGTGTCTGTTCTCAAATCACAGAATCACAGAATCACAGAACAGCTGAGGTGGGAAGGGACCTCTGGAGGTCACCATGTCACCTAATCATCTTCATGGCCCTTCACTGGACTCTCTCCAGCGTGTCCATGCCTCTCCTGTGCTGAGGAGCACAGCACTGGACAGAGTACTGCATGTGTGGCCTCACCAGTGCTGAGCAGAGGGGAGGGAGGATCATCTCCCTCGACCTGCTGGCACTGTGTTGCCTAATGCAGTCTAGGACACCATTACCTTCTTTGCTGCAAGGGCACACCGCTGGCTCATGTTCAACTAATTCATCCACAGGGCCCCCAGGTCCTTTTCTGTAAAGTTTCTCTTCAAGTGCTCATTTTATAATGTGTGGCTTCATTACTCACCCCTCAGGTGGCTCAGACTGGATATATGTTTGCCCCAGTTAGTTGCAGAGAAAGTTAAAACTGTATTAGTGATGACAGAATGAAAGATGACGCTAAGTGGTTGGGGGTTGTGCCATCATTTATACTTGAAAAGTAGCTCAAATTATGTGAATACTAAAGGTTTCCAATAACCCATGGTTTCTATGTTTTAGCTAAGTACTATGCTTTCCTGTTTTCCTAAGAGTGATTTTGAAATTTATGTTAGGTCATCCACTCAAGAAGCATGCCTGCCAGTTCCTAGCCAACCCTACAGAAAGGGAAGCTTTTAGCCCTAGACCCTTAGAAAGAGTAGATATATTAAGTAATTTTTAAAAATATTAAAAACTTTTAAAACCCCACCAAAACCCAGCATAAATCACCTGTTATTTAGATTTGAATACTACTCTTTCTGGAAATCCAGAGATCTTATGTCCAACGTTTTCCCAAGTGAAAGAAGTTTTTGTTGCCAAGGGCCATCATGGTGTGCCAAGATTGCCTTATCTGTGATAATGAATTTTTTAATGACAACATGTAACATTTAAAAGGCAACAGACCTATTTTCTGGATGCAACTGGGTGTGTCTCCAGACCAGGCCCCCGACGCTTGGCAAGTTCTTTCCTTTGACCCAGTGAGTTCATAGCCCTGATTGCAGATGAAACTGATGGTTGAGCCCAGCAGGTAGTTAGTTCCATTCTTTGTTCCATTGATTGGAGGGTCCAGCCAGCCACAAGAGATCACTAGCAAAAGAGACACAGCAAATCTCCATTACAATGATTCAAATGGCATTTTAGTGACAACTCACGGAAAGACAAAGACTTTTAGGCTACCTGATACTTCTGATACTTTTTAAATTATTACTATGTTTAAGTCCAAGGACGACAAGTGAATGCACAGAAAATGAAGATAAAGTTTCTACACTGTGGTGTAGGAAGAAATGGAAAGAAATATATTATGTGTTTGCCTAAGTAGTCATCTAGTGCAGAATTTTCCTGGTACAAGGATGATTCCTCCCAATAAGAGTATTTACAGGTGCATGAACCTACAGTTAATCAAGGCCTCCTCAAACATTGTTAACTATTTAGATGCCCTGTAGAAATAACTGGAGTGGTGCCCTATATGGGCCATTCACTTAAGAGTTGGACTCCATGATCCTTGTGAGTCCCTTCCAACTCAGACTCTGTGATCCTATAATGATGCTTTGAGGAACGTTGTATCACCTGGCTCCAGATGTTCTACCAGCAGCCTGTGATCCTGATGAGATAGCCTTGTGGAATTTCCCACTTGAAGGCTTCTTGTTGTCAGGACATCGAATCTGCAGAACGGGTCAGAGTCACAGAGTGAGACCATCTCTCCTACCAGGGGATCAGCAGGGTCTTCATTTGGGAAGAACACAGGCAGGAAGGAAGCATTGTGCTTCTCCCCGTAATAGAAATTGTTCAGTAAGAACTCTGTGTCATAAGTAAAGAGAGAACTTCCATTTTCAATAGCCCCTTGGGAGACAGAGAAAGAAAGAGAGAGAGATTCATATGTAACATTGCCCGCACATATCACCTTCTGCTACTAATCCAAGTGTTTATTTATGTAAATGTAGCTAGAACTGGAAGAGATCTAAGAAGGCCTACAGGATCCTACCAGCTCAAGATTATTCTCCTTTTCATATGCAACATCTTAACTCAGCACCAAAGTTAGTGTTTGTTTAACATGGTGTTTGATCATTTTCTTAAAATTAGATCCAAATGATTGCGTAGTTGTGATTTTACACAAAGATGGTTTGTATGCCTTCTAGCAAAATGGAGATAACAGACAGAGCAACACATTACAAAAGTAAAAACTACAAGCAACACAAATCCTGAGACTATGTGTCCCTAAATATATCATGTCTGTTATGGCCCTGCTCTTTGTGTTCATTTTGCTAAATCAGAAACTTTCTGAGGTTGAAGCAGTGAGACTTTTCAGTATGCTTTGAGTCCTGGGGTATGGTTACACTGTGCTCAACACAAAGATCAACTGGTAGCCAGAGGGTATTTTTGCATCATATCTTTGGCCCATCTCCTAACCTGATGCCAGGAGGAATGCTGATCAATTTAATCCTGAGGCTAGATACAGCAGCCTAACCACTCATTAAATGATAGGAGCCATTTTTTTATACACATCCCCCCCTGCACCTTTTATTTAAAGAGACAATTATTAATTGGGAGTTAATGAATTATTTTTTAGATTGTCAGCATGGTACATGATGAAAACATTGCTAACAAACTGGAAAAAGATAGCTGACCCTGGCTGTTGCTGTACTTGCTGTGTTCAGCTAAATGTAATAGATGATATTTTAAAAGTGTAAGCTGTGAAATATGAGATCTGACTCCTGATGGAACCAAGTGCTGAACACTCTGTTGTGGTTCTGTCTTCAATCATTCAGCAGTAGGTATATCACCCACTTGGGCAGAGGAGAGTATATTTCTCTTACTCTCTTCTCTTCCCCCAGTACTGATTGCTTGGCAGAGACTTAATTTCCTAGACTTTAAATCACAAGCTGTTTTGAATTTGTAAAGAAAATGTAATAATAGACCAGAGAAATGACTTACAGTTAGCTCCAAACTCGAACAACTGCTGGGGACTTGCATGAACTGGCAAGGTGGTTTTATTCCTGAAGGTGTATTCATCCTCTGTATTGCCATTCATTACCCCAAAGAGACCCTGTGTGTGATTCATAAACTTCTCTGGGAGCAGAACTGTCAGGCTCAGAAATCCTCCTTTTCCCCGTATTTCCACTCCAGATCCAGAAGAGAACATCACTGTGATGTTCTGATCAGGTGTAGAATAGAGAAAGAGACCTGTAACAATGAGAGGAAAAGACAAAATACCTCATTATCCACAGTGAATGAACTGTTGTGTTTTAGCATCAGTTAAAATCATCATCAGTTATAAAAATTTCTCATAAAGCTTTTCCTCCCTTACACTTTGAGCTACACTCTGAGAAGCATTTAAATCAGATAACTCTGCCTCTTCCTGAACACAGCATAGGTGCTGCCAGTTAGCTGGTAACCAGTATAGCAGGTTCTGGTGTGCTCACCTGAACCACAACTCTGTTATACTTCTGCATGGGAGCACAGCCAGCCACAGGCTGTTTTCCTGTGGCCTGCTTGATCCATGGCTATTTGGAAGGAGTTGCATAGCCCATAATTCTGGAGGCTATATTCCTGCTGTCAACAGTCTCAAAGGCCAGATGAATCCGTGCACTGGGCTAGTATAAACACAAGGCCAGGTAGGCAAACTGGATGGAAAGGGCATTCTACTCCATGCTCTCAGTTTTATTTCTTCCACCAAGGTGCATGTCAGCTGTGCACTGCCACTGATTCAGTCTCAATCTGGCAGTAACTGAAGAAAGTCATGTAATAATAAAATAAATTCTACTGAGTTGGGACACTGCCTGTTCTCTTTTTACTTCTTACATATTTTTTTCTGTGACCTGCAGGTTGTTTTCACAAAAGGACGCTGAAAAGAGAGTTGAAATGCATGCATCTAGAGATATTTTTAACTGTACATGGGCTCCACTGGAATACAATAGCTGACAAGGCTGGTATTTGTAACTAACCTTTCAGGTCCATCCAGGTTTGTTCAGAGAAGTTGAGAACCTTCTGGTTTAACAGGACCTCCAGATTCAAATCCTCTGAGTACCGTACTTCAATCACATCAGAGTTGTTCTCCTGCATGGCCACTGCAGACAAGCCTGTCCCCTGAGCTCCAGTTCCTTCCAAATAAAAAAACAAGCCCCCCAAAATACTCAATGTGATATAAAGTAAATACAGAAGGTTATAGCAATACAGGAGAGAAAAAAAAACCAAACAGATATTTCTGAAAAATAGTGAAATGTAATTATTTATATTTGAGGAAACAGCTAAGCATATAAGTCACATAAAACCCCACAGTTTACATCTCTTTCCAATACATTTAAAGAAGAATGTTTAGTGCTAAAAAAGACTAGAGTTTCTAAATTCTTTATCCTAATGGCAGTGGCTACACTATATAAGAAGGCTGGCTGATCTCCTTCACATTCATTACTGTGAGTAAGGTTTGGGAAAACTGGAAGCTTGCCCTGTCAAGGGCAAAACATTTCCTTGATAATTTCTGTCCTATCCAATGTGACATTCAGTATAAGCTGTATATCAGACAATTTTTAGTTCATCCATGTAATTGTACCAGAAGTACCAAATCCTTGAAATGCACCCTTAAGGCCAGCTGGAATATTCTTTACTGAGGCATGATCCCATTATGCTCTTTCCCACTCTACTTTTCCCTCACTTTAAAATGCAGTTGTATGACAATCTCCTTCTTACAGGCTGGTTTGCAATTTTCCCTTTCAAATTGTGAAGGCCACAGGTACATCCAGAAAGCTTCTTCTGCCCTAGGTTTCATTTTATGAACAAGCCAACAGATTGAGACCATCAGGCCTTTTGAATAACCAACTTCTCACCATACATTCTGTACTTTTCTGCTACCTGGAGGTGCTCAGAACGAATTTTTTCCCCATCCAAAGTATGTTTTCTCAGCTCATTGTGGAACATTTTTGCTCTGTCAACACACACATGCATATAGATCTAACACAGAAAGAAAATAAATCAGGGCACACACTTACATGCTTTCTATTCATTTTCAGCTACAATGCTATCAAAATGCATCAGCTGGCAGCTATGCCTATTGACTGATTTCTAGAGTTGACCTTATGATTCCTTACAGATGAGAATGGATATGGAGAGAAAGTAAGATTTTTGAGCTCTTAAACACAACAGAAAACCTTATACTTCCACTACTCACACCCAATAAAACCAGTAATTAAACTTCAATTAGGAAGTTATTTTTTTCCTGAACATGTTGTCTGCCTTCTGATTATCTTCCAAACAGTGACCTTTCACAAATGGCCAAAAAAGGAGAAGACTAGAGACGACAGGAGGAATGCTGTAAAGTGCAAATCAAGCACCCTTAGAAGCTTTTATTTGCTATCACTGCTTTCTCTTGCTGACTCACCATTGGGAAGGCGTCCCTGCTGTGTCCTCCCTTGCACTCTCAGGGATGTGAGATCAGACTCTAGCAACACGTATTCTCCCAGGCCATTGAAGGTGAAGTTCAGACCATCAAATGTCAAGAAATGAGGATCCCCAAAAGCAGATGCTATTTTAGAAAGTAAAATGAGAAATAAGAACAAGCAAAAATCACAAGCCATTGCTTCTCTTAAGTTCACGAGAAATAAAAATAAATCTCATTGTGGTGATCCAAAGAATGGCTTTAAACAAAGGAAAAAAATGCAGGGCTGATCTGATCCGTGGTAAATGTGATATGAGGAACAGCCATGAGAACCTTGAACAACGAGAAATGTAATTCCAGTTACTTCCATATTCTTTGGCCAACATTCAGGGCTGCACTTTAAAGAGGCTGCTCTTCCCAATACCTTTGATGGGGTTTCTCTAAGCATTTGTGACACCCTGCTACCTCCTGCAGTGGTCTCTGCAGTTTTCTCTTTTTTTTCCTGCTGCAAACTGTTGCCTCTTTGCACTTTCCTTATTTATGGGAGGCTGAGTCCTGCTGGACACCTCAGCATCCTTGCAGCATAGAAGGCAAGACATGTGGCAGCAACAGAGACATGGCAAGACTTGAGGACTGGCTTAAAAGCAAGGGGCAGGAGCAACAAACACACTGTAAATGGTAAAACTTCCTTATTTCATATTAATAACATTTTTCTGCATGACAGCTTTTCTAGCTACTGCCTACTTGTCTTAAACCATCTCTAACCATCCTCTTTCTGAAAAAGTGTTCACTGATGGCAGAAAGTTATGGGCACTGACTACTAAGCTTTGGCCACTTAGGTTCTAGGGGTTAATGAGATACTCAACGGCAGAAAACTTCGCAGGACAATTAAAAAACAAGTACAGATTTTGTGTACTGATAGATCAATAGACACTGGCCATGGAATTTTCCCACAGAACATTGTACCCTCACCATTGTCAACTCATATATGTACATATAAAATATTCTGAAAGCCAACGCTGTATCACAAGGCTACACTCCAGAATGCAATTATGAAGCCCTTACCGGCTCGAGGCGGGCGATACGTCCTGCAGTCACTAGAGGGACGCCTTCTCATATAGAACTGACAATTATCAGACCACAGGCAGCAGTAATAGAAGCTGATAACATCATAAAGCCAATGGGAAAAGCCAGGTATGCGGGGAGGCTTCAAGAAAGGTGGTGAACCCCAGTCATGGCCTCGATCAGGGGTGCTGCCTCCTGTGGAGTCATGCGTGAGGATCTGTGTTCCCGTGGAGTCATAGCAGCACTGCTGTCCTGCTGCGTACTGGGGACTGATTGAGAGAAGCAGCAAGAAAGTCATCATTCAGCTCTGTGAGGTTCCTTTGTGTTTAGGGGTTCCCTAATGCCTTTTTATGGAGACAGCTAAACATTTTGGGTGGCAAGCTTTATATGATGTCTTGTTAGACTTCACCCTGTCCCGTCTCGGTTCTTATAAATTAGACCAGAGTAGGGACAGGGAGGGAAGGGTTTTTAACCAAGGCAGGAAGGAAGACCTTGGTTAAAAGGCCTTCTGTAGGCCTTACAGCTATACAAAATAGCACTCTTTGAACTTGTTCTGACAGAAATTGTGCAAAGATTACCTTGTTGAACTTAATTAGACCAACACAGAAAAGGCTTAATTAGGCCTAATCAAACCTATTCTACACATTAGCTCCTGTTTAGCTATCCTAAGGTTTCACATGCTGCAATTTATTGTTTATTAAATCTAAGGCCTTAACTGCATCTCAGCAATGAGGGTCAGTATACGAGTAAGAGGGAAACAGTGGTTGCTATGAACCTGAGTTGAGAGGCCTGAGACCTTTGTGCCTTCTGTGATGCTGCTGCCCCTTCTCTGAGATGGAATAAGAAAAATAGTTTAAAAAATTTTCTCTACCTGGCTTGAATGGCTCTTACACAATGCACAGCACCAGGGTGGTAAGTGCACACGCTCCCCTTCTCAATGTCGCAGCCATAATCTGTCTGAAAAAGATCAGTGTTCACACTTAATGGGGTTCTTTCCCCGTTGTCCTTTCTATTTATATGTCCTCCCCTCACCCTTTGTATCTGACACGTGTGTAAAATCTACATGAACTGGTTGAGGCTGTGTGTTCAATAGCATGGAATGACAGGAAAAACAGTGAATTTAATACTGGAGTGTCTGGAGCAACAGGCCTAACCTGAGCATTCTGCAGTCTATTACAGCAGACGTTGAAGAACAAACACAGCTAGATGGGGATTCAACTATAAGAGTTAAAGAAGACAATCCTGCTCTCAGCTCCACAGAGCTCACTGTCCTCCATGTGTGTTTTCTGTCTACCACTGGAATTACTGTCTGAATTGCCTGTTTGAAGGTAATTTCCATGTGCTGTCCTACAGGCACTTCTTTTATTCATACTACCTGGATAAGCTGTATTTGCCTCTGCTACTTGCACTGCTATTGGTGCAAGTTTAAATATAATTTAATTCCCTTGTAATGATGTTTAGAGAGGGAATGGGGGGTGTGTGGAGTATGGCATTCCCTAAGGTTCTACTTGGAACTGTAATAAGCCAAAGGGATCAATCAATAACTTACATGGAACCTGCCAGTGTCAGCTCTTGCCTGTGCCAAAGTGCAAGGGCAGTCTATAATTTCTTCCTTGAAGTTTGGAAGCTTCTCTTCCTTTCTGTCCCATTCCATACATTTTGCAGTTGCCCATGCACTCGGGTCATTCCTGAAGTCATTCCCAAGGTGCCAAGCCAATGCATGGTCATTGCTCCAGAGTGATGGAATGTTGCTAGAAAACAAACAAAAAAACCCACCCAGAAATAGATCTGAGAGCTGAAGAAGCACTGTTTAGACAGTAACACTGTCAAATCACTACCTATAATTACGAAGTATCTTACAACTTGCAAGGTGTTATTTCATTACAAAGCCCATTGCTTTCTTTTTCCTGCAAAATGTTATGGCCAATCAAAATTTTCCAGATTCAGGAAGTGAGAGGGCAGCATGCAGCAAGTACACAATAATCAGAAAACATTTTAATATCTGTGATTCTGGTTTACCTGGATCCTTTTAGAGACAGGTTTTCTATTCAAGCCTTTTGACACTCTAGTTCCATTTAGCACAGAATGAAGAACATCTGGATTCTCTAACAAAACATAACTCTGTGCCCCAGTAGTACCAGGGCTAATGGCAACAGACGGGGAAAAACCATTCAGAATCCATGAAATATTCCAAACCTACTTTGAAAAAATATCGTATAAAAAGTGTAATAAAAATCCTCTAGAAAGAGAAAAGGTTATCCTTCTCTGGGTAGTGATTCCTAAATGCTAAGAAAGGTTCTGATATATTAGCAACATGTTAGAACTCTGAAGAGGTGGCATTTATATATTCACAGAATCTACACCATCTACATTAAAAACTGAAGATGTGAAAGAATTATGAAGGGATATGCAAGGTCAGAATATGTATGGAGCACTTATAGAGCTAATTCACCAAAAAACATGAGAAAATATACAATGAAACAAAAGGAAGTGGACATAAAATTTGTAGGAATGCAAAAGGCTGCATACAAAATAGAAAAAAAATAAATGCAGAGGAAAGCCTGTGGCTGTAGTGACCGAAGTTCCACAGTTAGGGAATCCTCTACAGGTGTGCCCAAAAAATAAGCAGATCTTAGTCTGCTGAGGGTAGTGGGTTTGGCTGGGGTGGATTAATTTTCTTCAGGCAGCCCATACAGTGCCATGGTTTAGATTTGTGACCAAACAATGCTGATAACACACAGTGTTTTAGCTACTGCCCAACAGTGCTTGCACGGTGTCAGGGTCCTCTGTGTTTCTCTTGCTGGCCCCCATGAAATAGGCTAGGCCTTGTCAAGAGTCTAGGAGGGGACACAGCCATGACAGCCAACCCAAACTGTCCACAGGTATATTCCTTACACCATTCCACATCATTCCCATCAATAAAACTGCAGCAGAGCTCTCTCACAGCAGCCCTTAGGGGTGACTGAGCGTGCATCGCTCTGCTTGTGGCAGGTGGTTACTGTTGCCTTTGCCTTACTCCCTCTTTGCCCATGCCCCTCTTTACTTGGTAAACTGTCTTTATCTTGACCCATGAGTTTTTCCCACTTTTGCCCTTCCAATTCTCTCCCCCTTTTTTCATGTGAAACGGAGCCTGAGTCCCAGCTTTAAATGCCAAAGGATATAACAACTTTACTACAGGAAGCAATAATAAGGTACCTATGATTAACGAGTGTTGTGATGCACTTGCCTCTGCCCATCAGAATAGCTGCTGGGTGTAATCCTCAAAATTCCAAAGTCCCACGTACTGTAATCTCCTTCAGCAGGTACAGGAGTGAAAGTAAGTTCCCCTGTATTGGGGATTGCTCTGGCCAAAGTATAAAGATATTTCCATTCAGCCGACCAGTTTTCTGAGTAACTGTCACCTGTCAGACAGAGCAAGAAAATGGTTTTGGACACTGGAAAAGAAAAATTACCATGAGGTTGAAATTAGATGTCTCCACATATGTAAATGAAGAGGAAAAGCTGACATTACTGTCCTGAGTTCCTTATACTTGCAGATCTCTTCTTGAGGCCTCAGTGAAAGCGGTCACATGCTGTGCAGAATTCTGCACATAAGTCATGCAATGACTTATGATAAATGCTTGTTCACAGGTAGGAAAAGTATCACTTTACCTGTTTCATGGTATCCCCAGACTTCTATGTTGACATGGGTTTCTGCAAGTGCCTGAGGTGTCCAGGTAACAGTTAAGTTTCCATAAGTGTTGGGGGTACCGTAGTATTGCCATTTTGTCTCATTTACCAAAGTACATCTTTCTTCATCTGAAACCTTGCTGTGATGTACTGCAGTACAGAGCAGAAAAAAAACAGGACTAATGACACTTCTGCTTTGCAAAGTTCTGAAAAAGTGCTTCTATGTTATTTAAGATCTAGCAGTATTTCCCCTGTGTATGTTTGACACAGTAAAGGATGCACAACATAAAGAGAGTAAGCTGAAGCTGAGCCCTTACTAATGTTTGAACACCACAGTGCAGTTATTTTCTAATAGAAGTAGTGACAAAAAGGTAACTGTTTTGGTCAATATCATTTTCAAGCAGGACTTTTTATGAGTTGATGCTGCTGCTGCTACTGTATAACAGCAGAACCCAATTGCCATAAAAGTTCATCTCTCAAAAGATGAATTAACATGAGGACAGCAAGAATTACTTCTCTGAGGCCTGCTAAGGAAGAAGAAAAATTATCAAAAAGGAAAGGTTACATAATCTTGCATCCATGGAGGAAGAATACAGGAAGAAGAGGAATGATGTAAATTTAAGTCACCTGATAACCAAGTTCCAGAGTAGGGGAACGACAACCCATTATCTATAGAAACTTCAAAAGGGATGAAACCAGTCTCATAAAGCAACGGGGAGATGCAGTGGGCTTTCCCATCCTCAGCAATATAGCCTCTGGTTTCGATTTCCTCCTTGAACCTGTAGGTGTTGAAAGCACTTTTCAGTGTCACCACGGAGAGAAGGAAAATTCTGAATGACTCGGTTGTGTTTCATCAAGCAACCTCGTGTCATGAGCAGATCATTTCAAGTCCCATCTGTTCAAATTTTGCTTGTAGCAGTGAATATCAACTGGAAAAATTTGTGCTTATTTCACCAGTGTGGAACCTGCTGTGTGCTGCACAAATCCACAGCAATCTACAAACCTTCAATTTACTATTTAATTACTGGGGGAGGGAGAAATTATAAATTAGCAGAATAATGATTGTATCACACAATAACTTGACTTAAATGAAATGATCCTGTGTAGAAACACAGTCAACATGTACCCCTGAGGGGAGGTTCACAAAAGCAGAACTTTTGTGTGTTTCAGGACTCAAGCAACTTTGTAAAGTTCTCACTCCTGTATAGACTAGTCTTGTTTCGTGGTAATTACCTATAGTTGGAAAGTGAGATTATATAAAATCATGGCCCACCTGCATGTTAGCATAGAAGAGGTATTAAAAGCTGTATTTTCAAGCAAAAAGGCTTTGCCTCCCATCAGAGATCCTGAGTATGGAGAAATCTGCAGACAAAATTCTTTATAATCAGGGCAGCAATTCCCCAAGGACTGGCATGTCACCTGGCAAGAACACGTACTAAGCAGCTCCCCACATTGCTGTGAACAAGAGTCTTGAGCTCCTTTAAAGGAAATAAAAAACATAGACAGGAACATTACTGACCTCTTCTAGGTGTTCTCTGAAACAAAAGTATATCATCTAAAGGACTACTGTAAATCAATGAAGTATGCTAGTTATGTTATTTTAGGAATGTGTTTAGGTGAAGGCTGTAATCACCTGCACGTTAGGGCTGCTCCATTTTGAATAGGAAAACACATTTATTTACCTCTGAGCCACTACATCATTTCATCAGTTCCATGGGTATTTTTACATGCAAGAGACAGATAAATCTCCAAGCAGCCCTTCAGCGACTGTCACTAATTACAGTTATTTCTGAGAGTTAAGTCTTAAACATATCAGAATGGGGTTCCCTCACCATCAACCCCGAAAGGGAATCAATCAGAACGGAAGGGCTCTTGGAAAGTTAACATCAGCAACAAGTTGTGCTCCAGTACGAGATTATTAAAAGCTCCTGAATTTTCTTTCCTTTGTGCGTTTCATTTGAGCCTGACCTTGACAAGGCAGCTGTTGTGATGACTGGGTACACGGACAGGAGACTGGGCTCTTGGCTTGGGCCTGGCTGAGGTCCAGCTGAACAGACCAGTAGCACTCACCAGACATCACATGAAAAATTACCCAACAAATGAAACAGTGAGAAGACAACAGACATAACAGTAACACTGTGGAGAATAGCTGGATTTCACAAACAGTTAAGGGTGACAGTGAGATGGACAAGCTGCACAGGCAACTGGGAGCACCGAGGAGCTTTTGTGGAGTAGAATCTTGCAAGGGCAACAATGCTTGAGAAGTATATCAATAACACCATGCAATGCTGAGATGACCTAGGTAGGTATCCAAAATTCTAAATATGGACATGGATGTTGCAAAATTGGAACAAAATATGAAAAAGTTATTAGGGGAGGGTTGCTTATTTGGGAGGACACAAACAAAAAGAAAGGCAGGGTTCAAGGTGGGTGGTGAAGAACAAGCATGGGGAAAGGGAAAGAAGGGAGGTAGAAGTGCTTGTTCAATATAGGGAGCTAGAAAGTTTTTCTGTCTTTAAATATATTTACTGCATTCTCCAGATTGTCTGTTTACTTACAGAGAAGATCCACTGACCTGCTGGAAAGTACAGAGGAAGGAAAAGAAAATGACACTGTGCTGACAAAAGCTGGCTTTTGTGCCTTTGCTTTAGTTTGTACAAATGGTATCAGTAATTTCTTACTGAGGTGTGTATTCTGAACAGAAATTTAAAAAGTTTGTAGATAAAAGCAGCAGAATTTTTGAAAATCACTCACCTGCATTCTGAAGAGCAGTAAGGGTGAAGAGAATGAAGAAAGAAACAATTATGCCAAAGAATTTCATATTTTGTCCAGATGATTCAGGATGGCTGATTTCAGTAGTCTTTGTGCCAGTCTGAGAAAAGCCTTTTATAGAAACAGGTGTCCAGAAATAAACAAGATTCTCGCTGTTCAAAGGTTTGTTGTAAACTACTGAAGCAAGACAAATCGAATGAAATGTTCCTTTTCAGAGGTCATGTCCAATTCAGGAGAAGATAGAGGGGGTGGGGGAAGTAGTCACTTCAACTCCCTACACGTTATTTTAATAGTTAAGTTTTTCTGAAATGGATGTTTATTGTTTTTAGAAACATTACTGCTTCAAAGTTCAAGACCACAAAGTCATTGGCACTGGGTCTATGCTTTAATTTTACTGGAGGAATTAAAACCAGTTATCAGTTAGAAGAATGATAAAGAATAGCTGCTGACAGTACAGCTTTGCTCAGGAGATAATGAGGCATTGAGAAAGGCTGATTACTGCATGGTATGTGCCAGCACGAGGGCTGTAAACGAGAGAGGCAAAAAGATATTCTGAGGAAGGTATAATTGAGAATGGTGGCTTAATATTAGAGCTATGAAATGGGCTACAGAATCTTTCAGACAGAAGCACAGGGATATTGTGGAAAGGAAGTAGGACAGCCAAAATCAGAACAGGGACTTTACCATGGAGGGTTTTTAGGGGATACTGAAAGAAAGCAAGCAAAGCCCATTGATCTGATATGTAAAATACCAGCAGATAAGAACCTCCTTGGCCTTGATTATACCCAGGGCAGAGTAGAGTCTGGAATGATGACAGGGAGTTTGGGGAAGCAAGGCTATTCAGAACCAGATAACCATATCAGCAGTATCACGTAAGGCTGTGATAATTCTGGTATATATGTAGCAAAACGGGGACCAGGGGTCAGAAATAATTAGAGGCACATTGTTTAGTTGAAAGGCATTCAGGTAAAGAAAAGAAAGTGCAACAGCAGCAAAAGGGACTTCAGGAGGTTTCTCTCTTTCCCTGATGTCCCAAAAAGTTCCCAATATCTCTGGAGAGAAATGAGGTTTAAACCAGAAATGTTTTGGGGTTTTATCAGCAAATTCATGCACATTCTTGCTCATAACAATAATGTTGTTATATATATTATAATAATGCTTTTCACAAGCCACTTTTCTACATCACTTTCAGGCCACTGATCTCCTTCTATCTATGGTGGAGTTCCAGGGCAGGGGGCACTGGGGGGCATTGGTGGGGGACTGAGCAGAACTAGGTGGGAACCGAGGGGTCTGGGTGGCACCAGGAATTAGCGGGATGCACTAGGGGTTGATTGGGAAGAGCGCGCTGTCCCTGGGAGGTGACTGGGAGGCACTGGGAGCTCCCCTAGGTGCATTGTGGACAGCCTGGAGGTCACAGGGGGGTCCTGGTACCCGGGCAGGGTCCCTCTGCCACCCCCCAACTTCCAGAGGAGCGTGGCGGGGGCAGAACCAAGGGCAGAACTGGGCGGATCTGGGAGGCGGACAGATCTGGGATTGGATGGACAAATACCTTAAAATGCGGAACGCCCTGGACACACGTGCGGTTCTGTATCCCCGAGGTGACTGAAGGCCTTCTATTAAAGCTGCTCTCTACTTTATCTCTACTAATAATTGCCTGCCGAGTCTATTTTTGGCTCCGGGCCGCTCCTTTGAGGCAGCGGTCCCCCAAAAACGAAGGTCACAGCCCGAACCTTTCCGCGGGCTCCGCTGACTCTGCTGTGCCTCCTGCTGGTCAAAAGGCGGTGCCACAAGGAAGAACCCCGCGCATGCGCAGGTAGGGAAAATGTGGAGAGGCTGAATTTGAGATAATTAAAAAAAAAATAAATAGAAAAAGCGCTGGCGGGTGCACGGCTTGGGAAGAACATCCTATAGCAGAAAGGAGAGGATTTGGAATGGAGCTGCCGAGCTTGGGCGGGTGAGAGAAGAAAATCGCAAGAGCTGTTGGAATCGGAGGGCACGTTCGGGTCCCTCGGGGGCTCCAGGAGCGCTGCCCCCAAACCCACCCCCAGAACAACCCCCGGCGAGCCGCTCCCTGGGGAGGATGGTTTGTTTAGTGCCTCATTTCTGCTTGTAAAACCAGCCTTTTCAAATGGTTTCTGCTGAAAGGTTTATCATTTACAGGTTGTCAATTAAAAGAAAAGAAAATCAACCCTCCCAAAGAAAAGTTATTTTGTATATGGAAAGAAACTTTTACAGATGTTTTTAATTCATTTTATATGTGTGTCCCTCTTTATCTCAGCGCTCTTCAAACCGTGCAGTTTTCTCTGTCAGTGCAAAGAGGAAGTGCCAGGACCATAGTGGAGTTCCAGGGACAGGGGTACCCGCACTGTGAAGGGCGTGTTTCAATACTGATGGATAAGCTTCCCTGATCTGTATTTTTTACTCTTCAGTAATGGGAGAGTTTTGCTAAGAACCCTGTATAAAAATATAAAATAAAATAAAATGGCTTTTTAAATGAAAATCCTTATTGTTTTCTGTGTGATACTCAGATCTTTCCGACGACGTCAAATTTCTCCCGCATTCCGCGCTCTGCAGGTGACTGAGGCTGCATCGGTTCTGTGGGACACCGGTTCGAATCCCACCCCGACCACCGTGCTCTGCCCCGCAGGCGCCGCCTGGCGGACACGGCCGGTAGCGGCACACTAAAGCCGTGCCTCCCCACTCACCCAGTGGCCGAGTGCTTACTTATTTTACTTTTAAATTTTCCTTTTTCTTTTATGGTCTATTTTATTATTTTTAATTTATTTGGTTTTTAAAATATTTTTCTTTCCTCTTTTTTCTTTTCATTTTCGTTTTCATTTTTTTTTTAATTTTATTTTATTTTATCTTTATTGTCTTTTTGTTTCGCTCAGGCTTTAGGCTGGTCACCTCTTGGAGACCTGGCAGGATTGACACAGACAGTAGCCAATGGGGCGGGGAGGGAGGCGGTGCGAGCTGCGCCTTGACCAGTAGGAGAGCTGTGTGAGCTTCATCGCAGCCAATGGGGAGGCGGCGGGGGCTGCTGTGCTTCTCTGTCCCCTCCGGCTCAGGGCACGGCGGGGCTGTTGGTTCCCAGTTTTTATAAAATAAAAAATAAAATTGACGTTTTTGCTGGTCGAGGCTGGGATTCGAATCTGTGTGTTCAGAGCACTGGTTGTTCCCGAGGCGAGAGGCTCAACCACGCAGCCACAGGGGAGGGCGGGGCGCGGCCGCCTCAGACGCACTTTGAGGAAGCGGGAGTGAGCCCTGGAAGCCGCCATTTTGTTGTACGGTGCATGCAATGGGGGGCTCCACGTTGCCCGGACCGTGGCGGCCGCCATGTTGTGCGGCGATCCTGGTGGGGGCCTGGGGCGTGTGCTTGGATTTCAGCGGGACCGCGGCCACCGGGGAAAAATAAAAATAAATAACACTTCCTGCACAAAATCAGAGAAAATCACCCAGACTCCTAAGCTGAGGATTTGCCTATACTTGTGCCCTCAAAACTAAACTTCCGTACCATACGGGCTGGGCTGTGACTGCTGATCACGGGGTGAATTGAGCCCTTCCAGAACCCCAGTCTGCAGAAGGATGGGTAGATGAGGGCTCTGCCCGACAGACACCCAGCAATCCACAGGGGAACCCTGTGAAATCCACAGGGCAACCCCATGAAATGGAACCCAAACATTGTCTTTTCCCCACTGCAAGAAACACTCTTTTAGAGCGAGGCTGACGCGGGCTGGAGGCACCAATGGGTGCCTTTCCCTCCTCATAGCTCAGTTTGATGGAGTAGAGCCTATGCAATAACATAGCATTAACCCAAGTCTATTTTATAAATCCATTATTTCAAACCCTCTAATATTATTCTAACCAACAAAAGGCAGGAGTGTCATCCCCAGAAGGGGATATCTGCTATGGCTCCACCCCTGACCTTTGCTGCACAGCACATTTCATTCCTGTGACCAAAACACCACTGGTCCCAAAAGTAGGATCCAGCCCTTCAGGCTGGCAAATTTAGAGCATGCTGGGTGGCAAAAGGATTCATCTGTATCAGGTATGCACCTTCTTCATAGTGTTCTGTGGATATGCCTTTACCCCTTATTGCCAGTGGGTAGAGATGGAATAAACGTGGTTTGGCAGGGAAGGCTTAGATTGGGATCTTCTTACAATAAGTCACAGGAAAGCCCATCCTTCCACATATTAAAATAAGAGACCGACACATATGACAGTCAGAGCACAAATGGACTTTTGTCCACATGATGGAAAAAGCAATAGATTGGGCCAGAGGAATTGTTCTGCCACCTTGGATCTGGCTCTCAGTCCAGGGTTCTTCGCACTTGCTTTACTGAAAGGATCTTTCCCACAGCAGATGGAATGACAGTGTTTCTCACTCAGGTGTTGCCTGCCTCTGCTGCATTCCCCAATTCAGTTACCCTTCAGAAAAATAGAGCACTGGCAGGAACACTGCTGGTGCTGTCAACTTCTGCTGTCACTTCTCGTAATTCACAGAAATTCTACTATTAAAAATTTAAGAATACTCTATATTTTAAGTCACCTTAATTTCTGGTTCTTCGTGACTAAACATTGTCATAATTTTCCTTCAGATCACACTAGTGACTTAGTTCAGACAGCTCAAGCACAACAGTGTTTATAACTGATCTGTGAAATCTCGAGATCAAAAAGTTGTTCTATTTTTTCACTAATGCTATTCATCTCAAGATAAGAGGACATGAAAGAAGTTCTTAATTCTTCAAAGAATAAAATCACAAAGTAGGAAATGCCTCTAAGTTTTAAATCAAACTCATCACACATTACTGACCATCTCTGAAAGGACTCCCAGTGTCAAGAAACATGGTAAGGACAAAAATAGTTTTTCAGCAGCTTTTACATTGTATTCAATATTGAAAAATACCTCTCCAAATTCTAACAATTCTTCATTGCTTACCTTACCCTAATAGAGAAAGACAAAAAACCCAGGGAGAACAGCGCTTCCATGGCTTATGGCTTTTAGAAATTACCTGCTAAGTGTGTAATTTTAAAGTGATTGTCTTCCATTAGGGCTACAATAAACAGCATGGTGGAAAATTCCATCTGATTAGCTTTTCTAATGAGCTGCAGGAGGTTGTGGAGGCCAAAGCTGTAGAATCTTAAACATTTCGTC